ATCTTCCCTCCCCTTGCAGTAGGGCTAATCACACACTTCTTTAAATCTCTCCAAACTGGTTTAACAGTATCATGATACTGTGACACTTTTTGGTACCAATATTGTGAAAGAATCAAAGGGACTTGCCCATCACTATGCTCAAGTCTATAGTCAAAAAAAACAAAGAAGGAAAGAAATAACCCTTTACCAGTCCTGTTTGCTTTAGGAGGTAATGTGCTTTCCAGCAGTCCTACTCACTAAAAAGAGGAGGAAAATAAGCTTAACAGTGGGACTCCATCACGCCCTTGCTGTGGAAGTAGGTTTGATCAGTTACTCCGTGTTCTCCTCCCCATTTCTAATTACTTCGTTCTAGTCCAAAATCCACACCTTTTTTATCTGGCGAAGTTATATATAACACATCTCCCAATTATACCACAGCTCGTTATACACAAAACCAGTAGCAATGGCCTAAAGGATTATTTCCCTTCTCCGCTCTGAAGAGGGCCCACTGTAGGGTTCTGTTTGGACGACACATTGGGTATAAAGAGGAGGCACCTGGACAGAACGTCAGTTTGAGGGAAGGCCTTGAAGTATTTTTAAAGGAGATCAAACTCTGGAAACTTTGCTAGATTTCACAAAAGCTTCATCTTCTCTCTTACATACTTTGTCTTGCTGTTAATGATTGGCATGGTCCCAGGATGCAGCTGCCCTGTGGATCTCAGACCATAGCTCATTCTGAGGTAGAGAGCGCTTGATTCATTAAATCCATTAAAAGTAGGGTCAGCACTAGAAGCAGACGGGGAGAAGTGGAAGAACTTAAAAGACCTGTTGTGCCCCTGGCAGCCTGAGTCATTGAGAAAGGAAACAGCTCCCCAGGGCATTAGCTAGAGCTGTACCTTCAGCTTCAGATATAAATGTGTCTGTCAGCCAAAAAGCGTCTGAAAAAAAAGCTCGTCCAAAAGGCAGCAATGGCACGGATCACAACTGCCAGGTCTGTATGGGGTGCACGCTTCTGAAACAGCAGAGATGGCAGAAACATCTTTAGAAACAGACTGTCTGGTTGCCTGAGGTTTTGATGAAAGGGTAGGAGAAAGGATGAGGAAAGGTTTGTGATTCCAATGGAATATGGAGAAGAAGTGTTTCTCCTTTCTCACCAGCATCAATTAGGTCTTGCCTGGGTTTAACTTGCAGCCAGCTGCTTTTAATCCAAAAATTAATTTCCTGTAGGCATTTTACTGCTGTGCATAACAAAGATTTTGCTTAGAAATGGCAGAAATGGACTCTGCATGGCAGAGGTTAGCTCTGCAGGGCTAAAATGAATTAAATGGCACAATAATTACATCTGTCCCTACAGTCAGTCCTGGGGTTTTAATTTAGATGAGCTCCTACTGAAGTCAGAAACTTCTGCCCCAGAACAAATGAGTAAAGCCCCTAGGATGTGGCCACACTTAACCAGAGCGCACAACCGATTGTTAATTTGATAATGATAACTGCATTTTACTTACCTGTGAATATAACGGTGTTCAAGCTAGATTTTCCCCATAATTCCATGAAATGAACCACGTCCCCAAACCTAAGAGAGGGGTGTCCAGTAAACACAACACATGGCTGCTTGAAGTCATTGCTGAAGTCTCCATGGATGCTGGGATAATGTTTCAATTTGTTTGTCTGAATGAGCTGAAATAAAAACAAAAATCCAGACATTACAAACTTTTCATGCCTCTGTGCTCTGTAGTTCGGTATGTTTATTTACATGAGATTATAAATACTCTACAGTTTATTTCTAACTCATCACAGAGTCCCTTCCTGCATATCCCCTAGATTTTCCAACAAATTTAGTCATGACTGTCCTAAATGTTATGAAAAGGAAGTCAGAGCATGGAGCCAGGTGCCTCCAAGTCCTTGCTCTCATTTCTTTGGTACCAGCAGTATGGTAACTGGGAGGAAACTCTGCAAACACTCCCTGCTTAGAGTTTCCTGGAGTGAGCAGAGCGCTCAGCTGCCAAATTCAAAATAAGCTACTTTTTCCTATTTGCCATGTCTACAAAGAGCTCTGGGCACTGATGTTTAACCTGGTTTTCTTGCATCACAGCAGTACCAGGCAATCTGGCCTTCAGCAGTGTGTTGCTGAGAGTTTCACTGGTATAATGCGTTTGCAGAAGTGAAGTCCTGTGAAAAAACACATGAAAGAACAGACTGCCCTTCCTTAACTATCACCAAAACTAGTAATAACGATGAACTAAGAGCAATAAGAAATACCTGTCGCTAGAGCTGGCAGAGTGTAACCAGCTATGCATGTGGAACAGATTTCTTTACGAAGATGAGGAAGTGTATTTATCAAGGCACTTTATGAAGAATTTTGCTTTATTTCTCCTGCCATTGTTTTCTAATCTGTAAAGCAAGGTTCAACTTAAAAAGCAATTTAATAGACTAGTCTGCTAAGCACTTCCAGGCAATATTTTGCAAGTATTTTCTTGGCAGGTATATGCTTCCATCCCCAGCCTGAAAATAACCGTAAATACAGTTTTTTTTTTAAAGTATGCAATTTAACACCACGAAATCACACAATGAACAACTAAGAACATTTTTGGAAATAAGAGTGTGAAAGAGGGGAATGGTACTTCCTTTGTCAGCCAGTTTTTAAAGGAGGTGGGACTGTTCATCAAAGATCTCCCCATACGCTGCTGTCTGCTGCCAGGTGTTGCAACATTGCTCAAAATACAGAATTCACGTATGCAGAGTTCAGCAACACGCTTCTGCAGCTGTTGTGCTGTGGAACCCCAGACAATCACAGAATCATAGAATCGTTTCAGTTGGAAAAGACCCTTAAGATCATCAAGTCCAACCATTAACCCAGCACTGCCAAGTCCATCTATACCATGTCCTCGGGCACCACATCTATCCATTCTTTAAATCCCCCCAGGGATGGGGACTCAGCCCCTGCCCTGGGCAGCCTGGGCCAGGGCCTGACAGCCCTTTGGGGGAAGTTTTCCCTAATATCCAACCTAACCCTGCCCTGGCGCAGCTTGAGGCCGTTCCCTCTCGTCC